ATTTCTTATTGAGTGTTTGGTTTGTTATATTCAAAATAATATATATTGATAAATTTTAAGAACAAGTTGTTTGTTTACAAAATTACCCTTCACTTTATTTAAACTTTTTAAATTTTTCTTTGTGAGCTTTAGTTATTCATTTTTTAAAATAAAACTTTTATTTTTTTTAACTTAAATATTTTTGTTTATGTATTCCCATGATAAGTACCATGTGTATTTAAAAATATAACTTTTTTCTTATTTAGCTTAAAAATAGAACTTTCCTCTTAAGTTTATTAAAGAGAAGAAAATTTATGAGAAATCAAAATAAAATAAACATAAGAATTAGTCAAATAAATTCATAAATAAAAATTATATTTATATAGTATAATTTTTTAATAGAAAAATATGTATAATTATCATAAAAATAAGGAGTAGTAAATATTATTATACATGGTATTAAAAAAAATGTAAATATACATAAATGTAAAAAATGATATATAAAAAGGATTTAAAGGGACATATTTGTCATTTACCTATTCTATCTCGGGATAAGTTATCCCGGGATTACTATACCACCCATGGGGAGGGATAACTTATCCCGGTACTAATTATTAATCCCGGGATAAGTTATCCCGGACTTGCCAACCAAACAACATAATTTTTTTTTTATCCCATCACTATTTCCTTATCCCATCACTATTATTTCTAATCCCTCACACCAAACGAGCCCTAAGGTTATATCTTTGGTAAGTTGTCGTTGTGTCATATCTTATTTAATCATACTTCTCAATATTTTTTTCAAACTATCTCTACCTCTCTTAAAACCATCATATAGTCAACCCCCTATCACACAATTTTGCTTTGCGGCATTCATGCATTTCTTTTTCACATGCCCAAATTACTTTTTGAGCACTTCTATTTTATCTCAAATATCTTTATTTCAATCCCTATTTACCCAGATTCGCAAAACACCCCTACTCTGGTAACAAAAGAAATAAAATTAACAGAACGTTAGAACTAAAAAAGAGGGCAATTTTACCTAAATGTTAAAAGGCAACTGGAATCCAATATGTGCAAATTGCTGGGAGGGAAATTTAAACTATTCAATTAAATCAGTACTACTTTTAATTAATAACAATAACATATTTAGTGAGATTTCACGAGATTTAAAAAGGAAGTAGAGTGTATGCAGATTTTATTTCATACTTTATGTGAGGTAGAAAAACTATTTTCAATAGACCCATCTCAAGAAAATCATTTTCAAAACAGATTTGACAAACACAAAAATAAAACATGAAATTACGGTAGAAAACAGAAGTATTTTGATAATAGAAATAAGCAATAGAAACAATAATAGTAATACAATTGGGGAATAAGATAATAATGATACTGATAGAGGTACTCTTAGCTAGAACTATGTTCTCCCACAAAAAAGAGAAAAATCACTTGACTACCTACTCAATCTCTATCATAATCCTCATATATTATGCTGCCTCATGATTACGTTAAAAAGAAGGATCAAGGTTTAATAAGTGAAAGAAGAGCAAATTTAATCCATTTTTTTTAGCAAGTCATAGAACACCTTTTTACCCTTTTTCCACAATATATATTAAGTTGTCTCATCATTATGTTAAAAAGAAGGATCGAAGTTTAATAAATGAAAGAAGACCAAATTGAATCCATTTCCGATAAGTCATAGAACATTTTTGACCCCTTTTTTGCGATCTATATTATCTCAACAAATAATTAACCATGATCAACTTATATGATTTGGTGCAAATATGTGAGAGTAAATATTTCACAGGATTTTAGGTTCAAATAATGCAAAACGAAGTAGTCCACAAATTCCCTAGCAAAATTACAAAATGAATATCTTTATCCTAAACACTAACTTTGCCACGTTGCAAGCCACCAAATAAGAGGTATTAACTTAGGCAACCAATGAAAAAATAGGCCTTATCCTATCTCTTATCTTACTCACAGCAAAGCCACCAAAATAATTTGTCTACTCTCTCCAAAGTTCATACAAACCATTTCTTACTGCCACTCATCCATTTTCTAACAAAGCAGAAACAGAGAGGAACACAAGACATTTGATCAAGAAAAAAGGGGTAAAATTATGGCTGCCTCTCTACAAGCAGCTGCTACTCTTATGCAACCAACAAAGGTTGGTGCTAGAAACAACCTGCAGTTGAGGTCTGTTCAAAGTGTGAGCAAAGCATTTGGTGTTGAACAAGGTTCAGCCAGGCTTACTTGCTCTTTGCAAACTGAAATCAAGGAATTGGCTCAAAAATGTACTGATGCTGCCAAGATTGCTGGTTTTGCTCTTGCCACCTCTGCCCTCGTCGTCTCGGTAAGTTGCTTTTCTAATTCAATTCTTGCCTGCTTCATGTCTATATTTCCCATGTATCCAGTGTTGTTGCCTGCATAATACAGAGTCATATCTTATTCAACTAGGATCTTTCTAAACTAGTCCATCATATTATGTATACGATTCAACATGCCAGCTATTAAACAACTGACTATTAGGAATACAAGACAACCAATGAAAAATGTCGTGAGATCCCCCGCTCTGCAGGGGTGTATCTGCTGACTAGTTTAGATCACGAGGAGGCACAAAAGCAAGAAAGCCACTTTTAAACTATGAATGGATCAGTACTGTGAATAGGATAGGATGAAAGAGGAATTTCATTCATTATATGAACTGCCATATCCCTCTATCGTGTATGAAGTTTATGATTTCCTTTGGTGTATATCCAATCACCTAAATTTAAGATAATAAGAAACACTGTAACTGGACTAGAGATGAATGCTAACTTACCAGTATGACATACCGATAATTCTAAAAGCAGGTTAAACGTTCTTCAAGCTAGTAGGCCTCATATTCACTGTCATTTACCTTCTTTGAAATAACCATAACTAGTTAACTACCAAATATCTATATCAGGAGTAGAGGGCTTTTGATGTCTTTGAGAGTATGTAGAAATACTTTAGAAGGCTTCTTTACCATTGCCACCCATTTTATATCCTCACATTGCCACCTCCAAAACTAAGATCAGACTATCCAATCTCTTGTCAAAATTTCCTAGCTCATTTCTGGATGTTCATGCTGTCATCTGTATTTCAGGACAAGCATCAATAGTTCTATAAAGATCAACTAGTTTACAGATTCTGTCATACATACTCATATATATAAAATCTAATTTTCACTTATATTTTTATTTGGTATGATGATGACATGAGTTGAGCTTATATGGAGAAACATAGTCAATGAGAATTCATATAGCCGACCCCAACTTTTGGACTGAAGTGTAGTAGTTATTGTTCTTGTTTCTCATGCAAAAATTTCTAAAGTTTGTACACTTGGCTACACAGGGAGCAAATGCCGAAGGAGTTCCAAAACGTTTAACCTATGACGAAATCCAAAGCAAGACATACATGGAAGTAAAGGGAACTGGAACTGCTAACCAGTGCCCTACCATTGAAGGAGGTGTTGGCAGCTTTGCCTTCAAACCAGGCAAATACACAGCCAAGAAATTCTGCCTAGAGCCCACATCATTCACAGTCAAGGCAGAGGGTGTCAGCAAGAACTCAGCCCCAGACTTCCAAAAAACCAAGCTCATGACACGTTTAACCTACACTCTTGATGAGATTGAGGGACCATTCGAAGTGTCTCCTGATGGCACTGTTAAGTTTGAGGAGAAGGATGGAATTGATTATGCTGCTGTTACAGTTCAGCTTCCTGGTGGTGAGCGTGTGCCCTTCCTCTTTACTATCAAACAGCTTGTGGCAAGCGGCAAACCAGAAAGCTTTAGTGGTGAGTTCCTTGTGCCATCGTACAGAGGTTCATCCTTCCTTGACCCAAAGGGACGGGGTGGATCTACTGGCTATGACAACGCTGTTGCATTGCCTGCTGGAGGGAGAGGAGACGAGGAGGAGCTTCAGAAGGAGAACGTAAAGAACACTGCATCTTTAACAGGAAAGATCACCTTGAGTGTTACCCAGAGCAAACCAGAGACTGGTGAGGTCATTGGAGTATTTGAGAGCATCCAGCCATCTGATACTGATCTGGGGGCAAAGGTTCCCAAGGATGTCAAAATCCAGGGTATCTGGTATGCCCAACTTGAATGATGGAGAGTTCTAGAATGTGTGTATCATTTCTTGGTCTAAATTTTGTTGTAAGTTACAAGGTTAAACATTCTGTGACTCAATTTGGACAAGCATTGAAACAACTATCTTGCTGTATATTATCAAGCTCGAGTAATATTTCATGCTGATAGCCAGTTACAAACACTTCTAATGCTTGTATACGCCCAGGATAGAGTACAAAGTACTGTCATCATAGAAAGGAGCAAATTAATGACAATCCATACCCCTTAGACTCCACAATCATCAAAATTAGTGAATATGTTCAGCGAAGGTAAGCTCAATTAAGTATTTTTATGTTGTAAAGAGATTTCAAACCACAGAAAGGCTGATCCTTACCAGTATATATCTGATAAGTAACAAACAACTTAGTGTCCATAAATAGATCATGCAAGGGTAAAGCAGATGAAATTCACAACTACAGTAGAAATGGACAGACAGATGGAGAGAAATCACTTGATCAAGAGAAATGAACAAAGGAGCCAATATAAATGCTTACTCTTCCTTGGGTTCACTTAACCCGGTCAAGGTCCAATGAAGTAACAATCATCTTATTGTTTTCAATATTGACTTCCAAACATATAGAATTCGTATTCTAGTCCCAGGTATCAAACTGGCAGTAGAACCTTTCTTCTCTAGCTTAGGAGTTTGCCAATCTTAAAGGACAACCTTCAGATATATAATGAGGTGCCTGAAGGTGGTTAGAAGAGAATTGTTACATTTTTGCATACAGGGATAGGACATAGAACCTTTGTGTTGAGTATATCTCATGGAGCTTGTGCCAGCAAAAAATTCAAAATCGTTAGTTGCACCCACAAGCATGGTCACAGCGGATGACATCTGCAGACTTCTATTTTCCTTGGAGAAAAACAAAAAGAACCTTCTTCATAGTATTATCAGCTTAGTCCACCAAATATCCCTTAAAGAACGAATTACATTTGCAGCTTATCAAGTTTAATGCATGATGGCATTTGTTATTTCACCAAAAATCTCTACAGGAGCATAACCCATCTTTAAAATGGTGAAATCTTAGAGAATCTCTCACAATGATCTGCACCCCGACAATCTTAGCCAAATACTTAATGGCATTATGGCAATCTCCACAAATTCTCAAGTTTTTGAACACCGTAATGGATGATGCACCATCCAAATTAAGAATCCCAAAGGCAACAGCAAGCCTCTCGCTGTGATTGCACAAACTGTTTTCCTTCTCCTCTGCATCAAGATCTTGGCCAACAAGGTCTGTACAGGGTAAATACCCAGCTAACCTCATCTTTTCACCTACTTCAGTCAAAAAGCTGTAAATGACTGCAGTCTGAGCATTATTCTTGTCACCGACAACAAAAGTATGCACTTTGTCTTTCACTTGAATCCAACTACAACCAGGAACTTTCATAATTCCTCTTTCTCTCATCAATTTCCTAATTTCTGAGGCCTCCTCTCGTAATTTGGCAGCTTCATAGATATTGGACAATAAAACATAGTTTCCAGCGTTTTCTGGTTCAATCTCCAACAGTTGTTTTCCAGCAACTCGTGCCATTTCCACGTTCTTATATACTCTACATGCACCAAGCAATGCTCCCCAAGCACCAGCACTTGGTTTCATGGGCATGTTTTGGATGAAATTATATGCCTGTTCTAGGCGACCAGCACGGCTTAGAGCATCAACCATGCATGAATAATGTTCTGAATCAGGTTCAACTCCATGTTCCTTTCTCATTGCGTAAAAGATCACAAGGCCCTTGTCTACCAGCTGTGAATGGCTGCAACCCGATAAGACGCCAGTAAAGGTAACAGAGTTGGGTTTCACCCCTGAACTTACCATTTCACGGAAAAGCAACAAGGCTTCCTCTCCCTTCCCATGCATTGAATTTCCAATAATCATTGTATTCCAAGCAATAGTATCTTTTTTTGGCATCATATAGAAGATTCTGTTAGATAGTTCTAGGTCACCACATTTAGCATACATGAATACCAAAGCAGTGAAGACTGTCTCATCTTCCAAAAATAAATGTCGAAGGAGAAAACCATGAATCTCCTTCCCTCTTCTTATGCTTCCTAGATCTATACAATTATGTAATACACTGGTGATCGTGATTTTATTTGGTTTTACACCTGACTGCTGCATTTCATGAAGTATTTGAAGCGCCTTACCTGTTCTTCCACTTTGCATACACCCTCCAATAACAGAATTCCAGGAATCGTGATTCAGTTTGGTTCTTCCTTTTCGCAACTGATCAAAGATGCGAAGTGCTTTGTCACATTCCCCATTTGAGAAATATGCTGACATAATAACATTGCATAAAACATAGTCAAACTGACGCATACTATTAAATACCGTCTCTGCTTGTTTGATACTCGAACAACTAGCATACATGTCCACAAGAGCACTGCTAACATACACATTATCATGTATTCCATTTTTCACAATATACCCGTGAATCTCTCTACCCAAATTCAAACTTTTCAAATCTGAGCAGGCAGGAAGTACAGTAGACAATGTAATAGGATTAGGCCTCATCCCATTTAACCCCATTTCACGGAACATTATTATCGCCTCACTTGGAAGTTTACAATTAACATAGCAAGAACTCATCGACGTCCAAGAGATAACATCTTTAGCACTTAAATTATCAAAAACCTCTCTTGCACCTAGAGCATATTTACACTTTCCATACATATCAATTAGTGCATTTCCAAGGAGCAAATCAGCGCGATAACCATATCTAATTACATCTTCGTGAACACCTTTTGCCTTTATCAAGTTGCCCAAAGCAGCACAACCCTTGGTTACTGATAATAGTGCCAACTGATCAGGATGAACTTTCTTTTCTCGCAATTCGTCATAGACTTCCAATGCTTCTTTTGGAAATCCACTCCTCGTGTATGCGGTGATCAAGAGCGTCCAGGATCGAATATCTGGGTGGGGAATTTCATCAAACAGTTGACGGGCACGTCGTATATCTCCAGAAGGTCCAAGTGCACGCATAAACTGTGAGTTTGGATGTAGACCGAATCTTGACGGTAGCTTCGGCAGCATGTGCTTGTTCCTTGCTACCCTCGCAAAAGTGGATGCAGTAGTTTGTCCAAATATAAGAAAAAAGTACACACTTTCGTCACAGAACTTGGATGTAGCATTGCTTGCTCTCACTAATTTAAAATGTTTTCATCTTTAATTGCTTTTAGGAAAATTGTGCATACAAACTATTAATTTAAAATAAATATTATTGCTAAAGTTTTATTTAATTTTAATTCGTAGCAAATTTTTTGCCATTCGCTCTCCTCTGAATCTCGCTTGCCACTCTCAATTCTCCCCCTTGTCTCTCTCAATTTATACAAACACAAATATAAATTGTGTTTGTATTTATATAAAGCGAAAGAGATTATATACAAATACAAATACATATATCTCCGTCCTATACACTTATAGTTATACAAATACAATTTTTTCACTGCCCATTTCTCTCGCTTTATACAAACACAAATTATACAAGTACAATGTATAATTTGTGTTTGTATAAAGCGAGAGAGATTTGATATATTAATGCAAATGTTTGAACTCGATTCAATTGTATATTAATTCAATTCAATTCAATTGTATATGAATTCAAATTTTATGCAGATATACAAACATAATCATTGATACACATACATAATAGTTACATACATACAATTATCTAACCGATATACATATACAATTCACTTCTCTTCACTCTCCTGCTCGCATCTCTCCTTTCTCTCCCAATCTTGCTTGCCAGTCTAGCCTAACACATATAATATATACATATACAAACTCAATTTTCATACAAATCGCCGCAATTTTTATACAAACCCGCAATTTTATACAAATCCACATATAATATATACATATACAAACTCAATTTTCATACAAATCGCCGCAATTTTTATACAAACCCGCAATTTTATACAAATCAGATGCTCCATAGCAAACATAATTTGGCTATGGAGCGCAAAAATAGCAAAACCATACCTATAGAACGCTGATATGATTTTTATGTTTGTTATTCAAAATTTACTCTTTTTTTAATAGAATAAAAAATATACCTCTACTTGTGTTATTATTATTTTTTGAGAAAATTTTAGAAATAGCAAACATAATAGAATAATAACTCTATAACTATAGTTTCGATAATTACTCTCCATAGATATAGTTCCGTTTTGTATATATACAAATAGGGTAAGTATATACAAATCTGTCTTTACTCATTTAGGAATTTTTCATAACTCAATTTGCATATTTTGCTTGCCAATATACAAATAGGGTAATTTATTATGATTTTTTTCATAAATCGTATACAAATAGCTAGGGTAAGCATATACAAAATTTTGGATTTATATAATCAGTAACCGAATTATACAAGTCAGGTGAATATCAAGAATTCAGGAAACTATAGCCGCGAATTATAATTTATATTTTTTTATATCTATAATACCTAATATAAATTAACTGTTTATTATTCCACATAATTTCCTTTTTTTCTTTTTAGTGCAGACCCAATGAATGACACTTACCCTAATTAAGAGTAAAGTAATGCTGTTACACCACAATACAATATTGATACCTCTACTTTTGCTTACTCGTCACTAATTACCTATCCACTTTTGAATTATCACACTTATTAAAAAAAAAAAAATTGACATAGCGAGTTTACCATTTTACCCCTATTCATCATTATGAAGTGGATGAATTAAAAATTTAAGATTTTCAAAAAGTTATACCTTTTTTCAATGTAATTAATTGGGGTATAATAGGTAAAAAGAATTTGTTCTTTCTTGATTTATCAAAATGGATAAGTAACTAGGGATAACTAAAAATGAAAAATGGACAAGTAATTAAAGATAAGGGAGTATTAATTAAATTTATCCTTTTTTATATTATGGGTACCCAATCTTTACTAAAATTAACAAAATTGCCTGTGATTTGAATGAGTTCTCCCAAATTGACTTTAGCCCAATTTCAGTCCAAATTTTCCAAATTTCAATTGAATAATTGATATACTACCAAATTACTATATGTTAGGCAACATCAACATTTATTGTTAGGCAGGCACTGGGTCGCTACACTCGAGACAAACCAAATTCTCTTTAGAAACTCACAGCTCAGCAAACTATACAGACATAGTAAAGATTGCAAGTAGTATGATATTCTTACGTTACAACATCGCCATCACTATTATTTTCCCCAAAATTCCTTTTCGCATTCCATTCACTCTGTTTAAAAAAACTGCACATTATTGAATGTATAGCAGAATTCTAACAAACAGAAGAGGGTAAATCGCTCTGTGGTGTGCTAGTGATGAAATGGATAAACAGCCGGGGGCTATGGGGACGAGTGCCGGTTTAGCTTTGAGATTAGGACAGGCTACTTTCTCTGTCAGTTCGCTTCTTTTCATGTGTTTTGGTGTTTCTTTCTTCAGCTACAGCTACGCTCCCTTCTGGTACTTGAATTTTTTACTTTCATCTCTTTTCAGTATTCATGTCTTTTTTTTTCCTTTTTGCATACAAAGTTTTAATCTGTGAATTTGGAGGCTCTTGAAATCGGCATGTAAATGAAATGAGTGGATTGAAAAGATTGAGCAACCAATTGTAAGGAAACTAAACTTGAATTAGGCCTTAGCAGGCAACTGGTGTGAATCAATTTAACATAGTGGAGACAAAAAAAAAAACTAACTGATTCTTTCCATTTGTCCTGGACGGAGTTATCTGATACCTATTGTTGGTGGAAGGTGGCAGATATGCGGTGGAATTAGTTAAGGTGTGCGAAAGCTGGCCCGGACACGGTCATCAAATAAAAAAAAAACAAAATCTTTCCACCTTGAACTAGTAGGCACTTTTGAAATTACCACGTGAATGCCCGGTAGAGAGCTTTTTAATGACCTTTGATGGACACTTTCTTTGACCTTTTAGAGCTGTTAATAAAAGGATCTTCACAAGAGAGGAGTGAAGTTCATCTTCAAAATGGAGTTTGGAAGAAATAGTTACACGAACTTAAGGAAGCTTATACGTTGGATATATGCTTGTGTTAGTTTATAAGAATAGTTAATTGGTTATTGCGGGTTTGGATGCGTAATTGAGGTTAGAAATATTTCCTGAAAATGTGATAACTGAAACAGGTCATATTAATTATTACATGCTTTCTTTACCTAAGAACTTGAAACACATATCAGATTTTATCTGTACTGTATCCAGAGTTTTGTTGTGAAAGCTGCCATTAGGAAGTGCTTAGTTGAGGTTTATGCTGCTTGGAATCATCTATGTAGTTGTTAGTCCAATTAGAGTATTAAACAGAATCTTAGATGTTAGTGGAATATATTTCATATGTGGAGTTCTTAATTTTTTAGTATAACCATCTGGTATAGGTTACTCGCGGGCAGACTAATTTAAATTTGGCCTGCATAGGGCCCATTAAAGGAGAAAGTGCTTTCTACTAGAAGTTTCTCCATTTTCAAGGCTTGATCCTGGAACCTCTGGATAAGGGTCGAGGGATCCCATTCGTTCCATCACATCTCATTTAGTATCTCATATGCACAATGATAATTTGTTTAACCGATTCTAAAGTATGAGTTGTATGCCCATCGTTTGCAACAACAACATACCCAGGAAATCCCACAAGTGAGTCCGGAGAGGGTAGAAAGACCCTTGACTCAAGTACATCAAATCCAGGTACAACAAGTAACAACGAAAACATAGCAAGTAACAACAAAATAATGCGGTGATTGAAATATCAAAAACAAGAACTACAATAATACTAATATAATGACAATGACAAACACCAATCACCCTAAGCAAGACAACACTACACTATCTACTAACCTTCTACCCTAATACGTGTCCTCCACACCTTCCTATCTAGGGTCATGTCCTCGGTAACTTGAAGTTGGGTCGTATCCTGTTTATCACCTTTCCCTAGTACTTCTTTGGCCTATCCCTGCCCCTCCTTGTACCCTATATAACCCACCTCATGCACCTCCTCACTGGTCCATCTATGCATCTCCTCTTTACATATCCAAACCATCTCATTCTTGCTTCCATCATCTTGTCCACAACAGAGGCCACTCCCACCTCATTACAAATATCCTCATTTCTAATCTAATGGTCATTGATGATCGAAATCATATTCTTCTTCTAAGGTGCTATTCCCGCATTTTCATTTTCTTGTTCTTTGCCAAAGACAAGCTCTCTAGCATAACTCTTGCTTGGGTAGATGGTGCCGGTTTCCGGCAAATTGCTAAATTTCTCCATGCAACGGCCATCACCTACCCTAATGCCCTGCTCCGGGCCTTACTGTTGGCTTTTAGCTTTCTTGCTTGCTATGCTCCAGCTAGCGGAATGCTTTACCAAATGCACCAACCAACCTCTGGTGTCGGGCCTCTGTATGCCAACTCCATCTAGGAAATTACTACCGCTTGGGCTCAGAGGTGGAGCCAATTTTTTTACCGAGGAGTGTCAAAATATATAAAGGTAGACGCACATAATAAACAGGGGGAGTAAACAAATAGTATTTATACATAAAACTTACAATTGTAATCTAGCTAAACAATGTAATTTTACAACGAATTGACACCCCTCATCATAAGGTGGCTCCGCCACTGCTTGGGCCTAAGCTCCTGAACCGGTAGGAAGAGAAGCGAACGGATACTTTTTGGTAGTCCATGGTTTTGATATTACTACTGGTTGATGATTATTCCGATCAAATTCGCTGGCCAGCTAATCTGGATTCACATTGTCTAGGGTCCAGTTAGGTGGGAAGTGCTCCCTACCAGGAGTTTTTCCATTTCCAGGTTCTCACCTGAGACATGTGGTGAAGCGTTGAGGGATCCCATCCATCCCACCACACCCGTTGGTGGTATCTCGTATGTGTAGTCTTTTTAACAGATTCTATATTTAGAAGTTGTTATCCCTGGCTAGTTTTACATTCTAAACTAATCCATACCTATGTGCATAGTTATAAGGAAGCATAGATCACGAGTAATCAGTTGTAAGAATCTGAATATTTGTATGTTCTTACAATTCTCTAGTTGCAGAGGTGCGATTTCTCTGTTAAATGACCTATTTCACCTATTGTTGTTTGCAGCTTCTTAGTGACAACCATGGGTTTGATAACGCCATGGAGCTTGGGATTGGCAATGATTGATACATTTTTAGTGTTGGCTAAACGTCCATCTAATCAGCGGAGAGTATTGTCAGCTGTTGTTTTAGGAGATTGGGTAAGTGCCTTGATAAATTTACTGTCAACTCAACTGTATGATCTTGTTCTGATCAAATAGCGTATTATTGGATTCAAAACAGGTCCTTTCGGTACTGTCACTTGCCGTGTCGTGTTCCACAGCTAGTGTGGCTGATTTCCTAATTGCTTCTGGTAATGTATACTGCAGAGACAATATATGCCTACGATATCAACTCTCTGCTGCCATGGCTTTCTTGACTTGGATTTTGTCATCGGCGTCTTTGCTCTTCAATCTTTGGCTTCTTCCTACCTTATATTAGTTGTGTGTATCTCTGGTCCTGGACCCCTCCTGGTTGTCTCTTGATTTAACGAATAGGGAGTAAAGATCGTCACTAATATGTTCTGCTATGATCTCTGAAAGGGTTATACATAGAATGATACTAAAAGTTAGTTCACTCATTGCGTTAAAGTATTTAGTCCATTTATAAACGACATGCATCATTAAACTTGCATGGCTTGGATTCACAATCTACTGCCTTGAACCACTTGGTAACGTCGTTTTCTACCCCCCACACAAGTTGAAGTCTATCCACAACCAGATCCAGTTTGAACTCCTCTATTACTGTTTTTATATGAGAAGCTTTTAGATTAGATATTCAAATTGTTCTGCATGATACCAGAGTTCTCTTGTCCTAATTAGATAATTGTAACTATTGTCTTATACTTATTTATACCGAACAAATTTTAAATATAAATGAAAGTTCACAGAGATTAAGTAAGCATCTTATTAGTGATGTTCTACTGAAAGATGAAGTGGTAAAGACAAACATGAGAATCAAATTGATTTTCAGCTTAGTTTTGTACTTTTAACATACATTCTATCAGCATATTGAAAGGCATTTATCGGTTCATGAACCAAGACTCAAAACTCAAGAGCCATTCATCTCTTGGACATGCTTTCACTATAAATCATATCTTTTTTTTCTTTATAAAATTATATCGGGGGCAAGGAAAAGAGAAATGGTGGAGGAGATTACAAGGTAGCAAATTGAACCTTTTTTACCAACAAAGTGAAAGTTCAGATAGTCAACCAATTGAGGCACCCTCAAATGATATATTTTTTCCTTTGTTGTTCCAATCAGTATATATCAAAAACCAACATACAATTTTCCATAATAGTTTAGAGGTATTCATTTTTGTTGTTTTTTTTAATACAAAAATTAAGAAAATAACAGAGAAAGACTTTGAGAAAAAAAATACTACAGTATTATCAAAGGGGATTTATTTTATTAATAATCCAGAGACTTACATTTATAGATATAATTCTTAATTAAAAATAGAAAAATATGTTACTAACTTATCAGTTTAATTCAAATAACAAATAAAAAGAACTAACTCATAAATTCAAGTCAAATAAGACTCCAAGGGGTTGTTTGGTAGGGAGTATTACGAGAAATAATTCAAGTATTATGTGTGATATTATTTAGTACTATGTTTGGTAGGAATTTTGGGTCTATGTATAACTAATCCATGGATTAGTTATACACCTTACATGGTATTATAGGGTGTATAACTAATACCTTCCATTGGGTGGTATTAGTAATACATGAAATTTAATACCCTGGGACTAATCTAGGTAAAGACAAAAATACCCCCTCAAATCTTTTTAATTATTTTATTTATTTTCTTAATTTTATGTTTTATATTTATACTAATAAATTTATTTAAATAAATTAGCTTACAAATTTTATTATTTAGACATAGTTTTTGTTGCTAAAATATGAGTTATTTAATCTATTTATTGTTAATATAAAATATTATAATCCGACTAATATGCTAATGTTGATGTATGAATTTAAGAACAATTCATAAGTCAAATATTGCCTCTTAACAAAAATACATTGAAACATTACACAAGTAATCTAAAACAAGAGCGTATATATATATATATATATTGCCTAAAGATAGATTATTATCTTCATTTGCACAACTTGGACTTATGACCAAGTAGCATCCACATAAATCATGAATTCGTCCATTAAAATAAGTATATAAGATGGAAATCCACTCATGAAAGAGATCAGAAATATAAGTTAAGCAATGCATTAAAATTGAGTTTCCACTTACTTTCAAATGAATTTTTCTTTTAGATAACAATTTTATATATTAGTTAAGAAACTATTGCACTCAAAAATATAAAAATTGTTCAAATTAGACCAAACAATTTGATTTTATATGATGATGATCGTTTCCCCCATAAGAATCTAATCAATTTTCAAAATAATTTTTTTAAAAAAACATCTCGAGTATAAAAATAGTTTAATTTATTTTGCTATTTTTTATTTTTTATTTTTATTTTATTTTATGATAAAGAGTGGGTTTTTTTAATTTATTGATACAAAACAAAGTTCAATAAATTTTCTCTATAAATTATTACAGTTGTGTGACCTTTTGAGATATTAACTCTAATTTATTAAGATGACAATTATTTACCCTCAAATAATTTAAGTGAGAAAATAGTGAACATGACAATACAATTTTTATTCTCCTAGCTAGTTAAAATGCTATAAAAAAATAATATTGTTTGTCAATTATCTACCTTGACCCCAATTACATGAAATAGAAAATCCCATAATAACTCAAGGGTATAATTGGAAAGATTTTTTTTTTGTAGAGTTATAAACCACAAACAAAACTAGGTGAGAAGCAATGAACCAAACACTTGATAAAAATAATCCATGCATTACTAATTCCTGCATTACTAATCCCTGCATTATTGACCTTTGTACCAAACGACCCCTAATAACATAATTTAAAAATCCTAAAAATAACTAACTATTTTATTTCTACAATATCTTGAGACATATTCTCAACACTTATCCTTGGATCAGGAATTGTAAATTGTAGTCTCATCTGAAATTGACCTTGTGAACAAATCTACCAATTCATCTTTTGTCTTGCAAGGCTTGTGTGCATCTTTTGTTGGATTAAATGAGAAACTCTTACTTCTCATTTCAACTTGTAAAATCTCTTGCTTAGTAGAATCTTTTTTAAATCCTTTTTCTATTAACTGACCAACACTAAACAAACTTTTATCAATATCAGGCACATAAGAACATCTGAAATTATTTTTGTACTTGAATTTGTTTTAATTGCAATAAACCATTTTCCTTTTGTAGGAATACAATCACCATTCCCAATTCTGACTTTTTTATTTTTCATAGCAATGAACTCTTTAATAAGATTTCTTTCAAATGTCATATGGTTTGTACAACCACTATCAATCATCCAAAAATCAGTTTCTTTTGGCTGAAAAACAAGTTGCCACAAATAAGTGGTCGTCTTCTTCAGTAGTGACTTGGGCAACTAATTCATCTTTTTGAAATTTGCTTTTGCAAATCACAACTTCATGACTAATTGTTTGCAGATCTTGCACTGTGCATCTGGTCTTTTTCAACATTTATATGAAGGATGTCTATTTTTATCACAGTGCATACAAGGTGGGTAATTTTACAAAAAATTACCCTTACTTTGAGTTTTGTGGCTGGCTACTAATGCTCCTTCAACCATGCCATCTTGCCTCATAAGCCTCCTTTATTTCTGTGCCTGCAAAGAATTTAACAATTCTGCCAAGGTAATTTTGGATAGATCTTGTGTGTTTTTCAAGGTTATTATACATGTTTCATATCTTTCGGGCACTGTAACAAGAACTTTTTGAACAATTCTTTTATCTTTAAATTCAACGCATAATAATCTTACCTATTGGGCACCAGATCGGAATGGAACCACCAAACCGGAATGAACCGGTATCGGACCGGACCGGGATGATTTGACCAGGTTGTTGATCGGTATCGAAATGAACCATACTGAAATTACCGGGATGGAAACTCGGTTCCATCCCGTCTCACTATATAACGGGATAGAACCGGGACAGATCGGAATGGAACGGGATGACACATAGCTATTTCAAAAAATAATATTTTTTGAGTTATTTTGAATTACGAAAATATGAATGCTTTTTATTTTTCTAAGTTTAATAGTTTATAAAGTATTTATGTTTTGAAATTTATAATGTTTATTTGTAATTATACTTAAATTTATTTTAAAGATATTTTTTTAAAATTTTTTACTTATAAGTTTGTAAGTTAAGTTTATTAAATTTATTTTTTCTTTAAGTTTTTGAGTTTATGTTATAAGTTTTAAAGATTGGAATCTTTTGAAGTTTATGTTGGGGTTATTTGCCCTAATTTCTTACCATAAATAGGTTTTCCTTTTAGGAAAAGGTTTTAATATTTTACTAGTCCTTTTCTTGTAGGAAAGGTTCTAGGACTCTATAAATATAGACTTGTTCCTTCTAACTTAATCAGCATTCACAATGTAGTCTTAAGGGCTTTGAGAGTTGCGGTTAGGGGGAATATTTGTGGGTCACAAGCTTGATACGTTATCACTTGTGTGAACCTCCCATGTATTCCGAGTGATTGGTTGAGGTTATTTCTCTCTATATTTTGTACTCTCATGTTTATATAGTGAATTGCTCATCTCCTTTGTGGACGTAGGTCGATTGACCGAACCACGTTAAATCTTTGTGTCTTTGTATATTTCTCGTTTGTCTTCTTACTCATGGTCTTTCGAGGTTTGCTTTGCTATCTTCCGCTTTACACCTGCTTATTTCGGTCATAACAGTTTATAAGTTATAACTTGTAATTTAAATAACTTAAGTTTGTAATTTGTTAAATTTATATAGTTTTAGGTTAATATGAAGTTGATGAATTAAGTTTGTAATTTAAAAAAATTAAAAAAAACAAAAAAAGCAATGCTAATAAACGTATAAAACAATGACAAAAATTAAAAAAAACCAATCCAATTTATTCATAGCTGTATTACAATTACAAAGATTTCACGGATCGGATCGGACTGAAATCGGGATAAATCAGTACCGTATACTAGTATCAAATCATGATACCGTCCCGTTTCGAGTACCGATTCAATGTATCCCATTCCGTCTCGATACTACCGGACCAGAACGGTACCGATATAACCCAGTCCGGTGCCAGCCTTAGTTGACAATACCAAGTAATCTACCAGAGTATTCTTTGACTATGTCTGACTCTTTCATTCTCTACAATTTAATTTAAATTTCCTCATTAAATTTAATACCTTCACTCATTGTATTCTTTCATCTCCAACATATTATTTCTTCAGATAATTCCAAATTTCTTTTGGTGATGTGAGAGTCGAGATTTTCGTGAAAACAGTTGTCGAAACAACAACAAACAAAGTTACTTTTGCTTTGGACTTAATGATTTTCTTTTTCTTGTGACTCTTGATTTGGGCCATAGTGGAATTATTTGGCAGCGAATTAATTTCATAATCCTCTTCCACG